TCCTTTGGAAGCATTGGTTGTTGTTTTTTTCCCCTTTTACATAAAAAATAAGAACTGCGTGCTTACAATGTTTATTTACTAAACTCATACGTCAAGATCAAGGTTGAATTTGGGGGGTTTCTTCTTCTTACATCCCCAAGGTTGAACGTTGACCTAGAATAGCATTTCTCCACTTCAGCTGCTTGGAGAGGGCTGCTGACTTCAACTCCCAGAATTCCCCAGCAACACCGCTGGCTGGGGAATTCTGGGACTTGAAGTCCACTCGTCTCCCAGCTGCGGAGGTTGGGGAAAGGATATATTTTGAGGTGGTGGTGGGGACTGAACAGGGCTGCCATCTATTTCTTTCCCTCCCCTACAAAGGAAAAAAGCGACCTGGGCCCTTTTAATTCTTTGCCCGAGATGCCAACGATGGAGGAGGCGCCAATGATGGGCTTATCCCCTCCGATGCAAGGCCGAACTATTTAAGGCAGCCTTGGCATCGGCCTTGGCTGCTGTTCCCTGTCTCTAAAGGGCAACAGCCTCTTTTGTCTTGCAGAGGGGATGAAAACGGCTGCAGAGATTCCTTAGTCAGTCCGGGGGGGGGGGGGGGGGGGAGATGTCCCCGGAAGGGACAGAAGTGGTGGGGAGCAGTGGTGGGATTCAAATCATTGAACCCCTGGTTCTCTGCCCTAATGATTTCTCCCAACAACTAGTTCACCAAACTGCCTGATCCGGCTGAATCCCACCACTTGGGGTGTGTGTGTCTTGAATCCCCCCACCAAAGAAAGCTGCAGAACAGCTGTGTCCTCTTTCAAGAAGAGTTAATCCCCCTCCATGCTTGGAGGGCTGGAAAAAGGGGGGGGGTCTTGGGGTCTCTTTGGGTCATCTGGGGATGATGGGTTTGTTGGTTGTTACGTCTGGATATCCCTCACGCCCCCAATGGTCCTTTCAGGGAGGGAGGGATTGAGGCTACAGAGACTTTGCACTGGGTGTCTGTCTCTTCAGCAGAAAGTCGCCCTGTTTTGACTCGCGGCCCAGCTGCCCTTGGCATTTTACGGAGAAAGGAGGGTGGGGATGTGGGATTCCACCACAGTACCCTCCCTTTGCCATTCTCCTCCCCCCCCCACCCCAAAATATCCCTCTGTGGCTTTCCATAAGTCTCTGAAGTTCAGGTTGCTCCAATCTCTTGAAAGAGCCAAATCAGGAACTTCTCACGTTCAAACGTTTGCCAGGCCAAGGTGGGGATGATGCCGACAGGCAGATTGAAGGCAGAGCCTGCATGTGGCAAGGAAGCTCAGAGCATCCCCTGTGGGGAGGGTGGGGACAAAGATTTTCAAAGACCCTCCTAAACAAGAGCGCTGCAACCAGGAGGTGGGATTCAGCCGGTTTGGACCGGTTTGAGCGAGCCAGATGTTAAATTTACATTTGGTTCGCCAAAACCGACTGGCTGGCCACGCCCACCCATCCTGCCCCTCCCAGGAGTCTCCACATGGCCTGTTTTGGATGCAGGGAAGTGCAGGGTCCGTGTGGAGGCTCTGGGAGGGAAAAACGGGCCTTCCGCAAGTTCCGGAAGTCCAGAAACGGGCCTGTTTCCAGCTTCCAGCGGCCCTCTGGAGCCTGGGACAGGCTGTTTTCGCCCTCCCAGAGGCCCGAGGGAAGCCTCGGGATTCTGGGGACGGTGAAAAATGGCCCTCCCGGAAGTGCCGGTAGGACACGCCCACAATGGCCACGCCCACCCAGCAACTGGGCAGCGAACCAGTTGTTGGGATTTTGGAATCCCACCCCTGGCTGCAACTGGTCGCTATTTTGGGGGTCACAGAGAGCAGCACCAATGACAAGAAGGAGCAAGCGGGGCATTTTTTTTTTTTTAAAAAAAGAAGTGTTGTATTTAAAGCTATCCTGTTTGAACGGCACGTCAGAAAGGACAGACCGGTTTTGGGCTAAGTAGAGCAAGGAGGTGAATTCCCTGCACTCTTGAATTCCTTACGGTGCAAGTTATCGGACCTCTCTTCTTTTTTTAATCTCATTTTCCTATTCCTGGGAAACCGAAATGGAATTGAATGTGAAACTCCACAGGCAACTATTCAGAAAGCCACTCCTTTTACCATCCAAGCTGCTGCCAAGTCTCAGGACTTCATAATGTTAATAATGAGAGAGTGAATACTTTATAAGAGGCGGGGCAGCAGTAACAAAGCCCAAAAGGGGAAGATTCAAAGGACAGGCAGGAATTCTGAGTAATTAGTTCGTTTTCTCACACACACACACACACACACACACACACACACACACCTATACCCCTATACACATACACATGTCTCTCTCTCTCTCTCTCTCTCTCTCTCTCTCTCTCTCTATATATATATATATATATATATATACATACATACACACACACACGTCTTTCCCCCAAAGTAAGACCAGGTCTTATATTAATTTTTGCTCCAAAAGACAGAGTAGGGCTTATTTTCTGGGAAATATGGTACTAAATGCATCCTTCTGTTTGATGATGTTAACTGGGGCTTATTTTTGGAGTAAGGCTTATGAAAAATGCTGGGACTCATTTTCCAGTTAGGTCTTGTTTTGTGATAAACAGGGTGTGTGTGTTTGTGTGTCAGAATTTGAATAATCTCAAAATTCATTCGTGCCTCTTTCTCTCTTTTCTGAAATAGCAGTTGCCCTTCGCTATTGAAGAGGTACAAAGAAAAACCAGGTGAGCCATAGAGATGTATTTATTCATTGATCCCATGCACAGGGCCCCAGTGAGTCTCGCTAGACAGCATAGAAAGGCAACCAGGCAAGAAATCCATTGTGGTCACAGGTGGTGGAGGTGGCTGGACAGATGTGACAGGGATCTGGGAGAGGAGAATGCAGAAATATTCCGGGGCGAAGAAACATCTGAATTCAGCCTCTCTGCATAAGGCACCGTTTTCCTGAGAGTAAATACAAAAAAAAAACAACAAAAAAAAAACTTCCTGGGAGAGAAACTGATTCTTGCAAAGCACCTTGGGGGAAAGTTTGCAAAGAAACAAGCAGAAAAATTCCAGCAATATTGGGATCCTTCTGCTGGGCTGAACGTTGCCATGGGCACAGGATGCCTTGAGGCTTCATGGGAAACAGCCCACCAAGGGGAAGAGTTGGGGGCCTATTGGGTTAAAAATTTGCACAGTGAAGGCTGCTGGCACTCAGCTGAGGATTACGGGACAACGGGGTCACATTCATCTCCTCCACCATGAATTGCTGTTTCGAGGGGTTTTCTGTCTCTCTCTCTCTCTCTCTCTTTTTATGGTTTTATTCTGAGAATTTTAGTTGGGAGACAATTCTTTTATTTTTTGCTTAGAAACAAACGAGCAGCTAGCTAGGAGTTCGCATGGACGCAAAATAACACCAATCCGTGGCTTGAAAACTCGCATGCTGAGAAGGCAGAAGGACAACCCACAACGTAATTTTGCATAGTTTGTGATTGGTTAAAGATTTTTTTTGAATCCCAAGGTCCTTGGTTTCAGGTCTGTGGGTCCAGGGGCAGTTAGAGATGAGCCTGGATTTAAATGCAGACATTCTTCTCCAGGTAATCTGGGGGGATTTCACTCTGCTCTCCTATTTTGCAAGGTTTAACTGATTTCCCTCAATACGAAAAGAAGCCCCAGGCCCTTGGAATTTTCTCATTCTATTCGGAGTCGTGATTTCAGGGGGCCGAGCGATGTCAATTCAGCAATTATCATCTTTTTCCTCCCCCTACAGATACAAGAATCAGTAAGCCGAGTTTACAGACCCCGGAAAGCAACAAGGTAAATAAATTCCATCCTCAGGGAGAGGACTTCCTTTTTATTCCACGATTTTTTAATTGAACCATGATTTGCAGAATAAAAACATGCGAGGGAAAAAGAAAATACAGGTATCCTTGACTTACAACAGTTCATTTAGTAACGTTTTAAAATTGCAGTGCCACTGAAAAAAAGGGACTTACGACCGTTTTGCATACTTACAACCAATGCAATCGCACAATCAAAATTTGGACGCTGGGCAACGGGTTCCTATTTGTGATGGTCACAGCGTCCCGGGGAATCAGGCAATTCCCCTTTTTTGTAAACCTCCCAACAAGCCATGTCAGTGGGGAATCTGGATTAGCTTAACAACCATGGCCATAAAGGTCGTAAAACGGGGCACAATTACACTTAACAAATGTCTCACTTAGCAACAGAAATCCGGGGCTCGATTGTGTCCGTGGGAAGGACTACCTGGAAGGGAAAGGGAAAGAAAATTTGTGGGGAAAGAGCAAGGAAACGAATGAGGAATGAGAAGAAAGAGAGAAAAGGAAAAGGAAGGTATAACCTAGAAAGAAACAGCTCCGTACCTTTCTTACAGGGGTTTGAACGGAGTCCTCAACTTACGACCACAAAGGAGTGCAAAATTTCTGTTGTTTAATTTAATCCCTGTCCTATGGGGTACAAACTGTCTTTTTATGTAGCTTAGTTCCCGGAGGGCAGAGTTTCCCCCAATATTTTGTGCTTTTGCTAAAGAACAGAGAGCGAGTGCCGCTTAGATTTAAGCTTCTTCTTCCTAAAAGTTTGCTCTGAGCCTCAGTGATTTGATCTCTCTCTCTCTCTCTCTCTCCCTCCCTTTCTCTCTCCTTCTCTCTCCCCCTCTCCCTCTCCCTCTCTCTCCCTCCCTCCCTCTTCCTCTCTCTCTCTCCCTTTCTCTCTCCCTCCCCCTCTCTCTCCCTCTCTCTCTCCCCCCCTCTTTCTCTCCCCCCAAGGGCCTTGAGGTGGCCCCCGTCTACGATGACGTCTCAGAGTTCCCGGTCTACGCCACGGTGAGCAAGCCGAAGAACATGAAGCCGGATGAAAGCAGCGTGCATTATGCCGACATCCAGGTCTTCACCAAGCCCCGCGAACGCTCAGCCGGGGAGGTGAAAAACCTCCAGACGCAGAATGCGACGGAATACGCCACCCTCAATTTCTCCCGAGCCCCCCTGAAATACGACAACAAGAACGGGACTCTGGTATAAGTGCCAAAGAGGCCATTTCTGGAGGGAAATGACATCCAGGAACCGCAGGTGCTCAGTTGTTTCAGAAAAGGAAAAAAACAAAAAACACACACCACACACGCATACACAATCTGGATCAGGTCAGCATGGACTCTCGGAGGAAGAATGGTTTTTTTTGTGTGTGGGGAGAAAATGAGCCCTTTGGACGATGGGAGGAGTGAATAAGTTCCAGAGGGAAAATGGCTTCTTGGATGGTGTGAGCGAGCAAGAGAGCCAGCTGGAGGACAAAGCCCAGCCGAAATATGGAATAAGCAACATGGAAGTTTTGCAAGATTTTTTTTTTTTAAAAAAAAATCTCCTCCAAGCAATCCTTGCAGGATGTCTCTATATCAAGAGGGCTTGTTTTTGAATTAAAGGGTTGGGGGGAAATTACACTACAGAAAACTCTGGAGGGTGTCTTTGCTTGGACAGCCATTTGCAGCAGTTCCTGGGGGCAACGGACGTGTGAAATTTTGTGGGTTGTTGGAAATGTTCTTCCGTTGGTAGGGAAGACGTGGGTTTTCCTTGTTCTGTGTATCCAGTGGACGATTCCTTCGGCAGCTCAGCTCGTGAGGAAACAAATGATCCCTTTTTATCCCACGGAAGCACCTTGCCCAGGACAAAGAGGTCCATGAAATTTTTCTACAAGAGGGGATTCCCAGCATAATTTCCACGCTGTGAAACAGATCCGGGAAAAAGACTTAATTATGATGTAAAAATTATGCAGATTCCCCACGTGCTAAAATTAGATTATTTTCAAGGAAAAGAAGATCAGGCCCCCCCGCTCCTTAGAGTGTGTATCCTTGGAAGGAAGCGTTTTTTGGAAATGGTGTTGGGCGAGGACCTTGGCAAAAAAGGTGTGAAGAGCTGTCCTCTTTCTACATGGCGAGATCGTTGACCTATCATTCTTTAAAGCAATGTTTCTCAGCTTTTAAGGCCATTTTAAGATGGGTGGGCTTCAACTCCCAGAACTCCCCAGCCAGTGTGTGGATCAGACAACTGAATAAAGAATAACAGGAGTTAGGAGGAATTTTAAGAGGTCTTCTAGTCCAACCCCCTAACCCTAACCCTAACCCTATCTATACCATTTCAGACAAACTGTTGTCCAATCTCTTCTTGAAAACCTCCAGTGATGGAGCACCCACAGCTTCTGGTGGCAAGTAGTTCCACTGGTTAATTATTCTCACTGTCAGGAAATTCCTCCTTAGTTCTGGATTGCTCCTGGCCTTGTTTGGTTCTTGTCCTGTTGCTTCTTGTCCTGCCAATAATGATAGTGGTGAGAGAAGGATGACCATTGAAGACACTTGACGCAAGCAAGGCAAGGAGTAAATCTGGCGTCATTGTGCTTACAAAAAGACATAGGAATCCTTTGCATCGCTCCATCCCTTGTTAACCAGGCAAGGGTGAACTTGATACTCCCCAACTCCTCTAGAGCTGCGGGAATAAAGCTCTCCAATATTTGGGAGGCATTTAAATGGAGAAGGATAGCCTAGTGGGTATAGTGGACTCCCAAAAGGACTTCTTAAATGTCAGAAGAGCGAAACAGCCCTAAAGGAATCACCCTGGGCTCTCTTGCTTTACTGTTGGGTACACACTACTGTGGAACTTCAAAATATTATCACAAATAAGTTGGTCTGTCAGGTTTGTTTGTCTGTGTGTTTTCACAGCTAGTGAAACTAGGAGTGGAAGGCAGGAAATTCACTTTCCAGATCCAACCTTTGACTCTGTTGAATAAGTAAGGATTGGTGATACACCTGCCTGCCTGCTGTGGAAAACATAGGGAGAAAAGCTTCTTTTATCTGCAGAATTTTTAGCCTGAAAAACGATCGACTTTGGCTAAAAAGGTTCCATATAGTTAACAGCTAATCCAATATTTTGTGAAGAAGCACAAATAGACTGCCCTAAGTAACAGAGAAATTCACTTTTTTTTAACAATAGAAGAAACGTGATCCCCGATTTTGTTCCAAAAAAAAAAAGAGTTTGCCCCCAATAATTTATGTTGATTATTTGCACTGAATTTTATCAATCACGAAGGCACATTTTCTGTGTTTCCAAATCCTATTTATATTTATTGGACTGGAGTGAGATCAGATTAGAAATTGGGGTTGGATCTCTCAGTGATCGGCCCGCTCAAATATTATTTTAAAAGGATCACCATGCTAGTCCTCAAGGCAGCGGAAAGAATCTAAAAGATACTATGAAGTGGGTTTTTTTTAAAAAAATTCTAAACTGTATTTATGACTTTAAAAGGTCTTCTCAGGATTTTGAATATTGAGATTCACAGTGACAATAATTATATTTAATTTAAAAATAATTTGGTAAACACAGACAGCATTTCAGTGCAAAATATTGGAGAAGACAATATGTTCAGAGACGCTGAAGTATGAGGAGTCTCCCAACTTAAAATAAACTGGGGAATAAAATAAATGCCAGTTATTTTAATGTTCATTTGATGCAAGTTATGCTTGGGCAGGAACATCAGTGTAAGCCAACAGCCATTCAAAAACAGAACTCCAGTGTCAACAAATCTTTGGAAGCATCACACCTAAGTATGGGAATATTGCATGTTCTTTTTAAAGTATTAAATCCCACTTTAAAGTACCAGTTGCTGGTTGTTTTCAAGTTAATTTATGCAACACTTTTACAGATATAGCACAAAAATCTCCTTAAAAAAAAAAAAAGAATTAGCACCTGCAAACCCTGTGAATTCTATGTGGGTGCAGGCAGGCTGATCAACCTGTTCATTTTAGTTTTGGAGATGTAACCTTGCAATAATTATCCTTCAATATCAGGGTTAATTTTTAGCCAGCCTCACTGTTACGTTATGAATTGCTTAAGCGTATTTCAGCCTGAACGGATCTCATTCTGGCCTTATAAAGTCCACGAGAATGGATGTGGGTGAAATGTTTTTCTAGAACTTCAGAAAGGAAGTTTATTTTATTTTATTTTATTTTTGGCCCGGTTGTGCTTTTTTTTTTTTTGCTGGTGTATACTTTCACACATGCTTTTCATAACGAACAATTCTTGATCTGTTTTCTCTTGCAAATAATTGGAGTAACTGGACAGTGTCCATTGGTGAAATCATAATAAAATGGAGCAGTTACTCTGTTAAACATTATATGAAGGAAATGGATTCTGGGATCCTTTTCAGCAGCTGAGAAGCTGAAAAATGTTAAAATCTGTGCACCCCCTTTTTCTAATGATCAATATTTGTTCCACCAATAGTTTAATAACCTTAGAAGTCCTACTAAAAGGAAAATTTTCTGGAAAAAAAAAAGTCTGTGTCTTGAAAGGTCTGTTTTCTTCCTCCTTTCGGTGTTTAGAGAATTATCGGAGGTAGTTAATAATTTCCTAGCTCCTGGTTCATGAGCTGCACCTTTTATTACAGAAGAATAAATATTTTTTATAATTAACCCTGGAGGCTGTGTTGATTTTATTGTGGGAAAAAATGTCATCCTTCCCCTGGGTTTTCCTTCCTTCCTCTTTTTCTCATCAAGGTGGATTGCCCATTGGATTAACTCCTGACTTGGCTTTTATCAGCAAGTTGCAAACAACTGCCTCTGTCTTTGTGTCTGTGTGTGTGTGTGTGAATGTGTGAGTGATCGCACCCTCCAAGTTCACATCCCAAGGACGGGCCATGCATCAAGCAAATTTCCAGCCGGGGTGTGAGTGTGTATATTTTATATTTATATTTGTAATTAATTTCCATCCGGCTCTCCATATAGCAACTCCGGGCAGCTTGCCATGCAACAAACACACACACACACACACACACATACAAAAGGGCCAAACCTTAGCACAACTCAAATGACAGCAATGTGTGTGTGTGTTTGTTTTAATCTGGATTTAAAAATTAGACTCTGCAAGAGGAAGCAGGGAGGATGCGGTTTGCGATCCAGCCGCCAGGGGGAGCTGCGGCGCGCGTCTCCAAGGCAACGTGAACGCGCTGGGATGGCCGGCTGCTCCCGGGAGGCGATGCAACCCCGCCGGGCCAGGCCTGCTGCTGTTGCTGGCGGGGAGACCCCCGAGGTGGGTCTCGGGGTGGGGGAAAGAGCCCCCGGTGTTGGGTCCCCGGGGTACATGGGGGCCGGAGCCCCGAGCCTGGCCTCCCCCGGTCAGTCCCGGGGCTCCTCTTGCCGGGTCGGGCCGCTTTTCCAAGCGGGGAGGGGGAGGTTTGCTGGGTTGCAAAAGTTTGGGGCGGACTTTGCAACGTTGCAAAAAAATTGAGGAAGGGGCAGCAGGGAAT